GTAAGCAGTTCTTTAATCTGATGATTCGATGACCCAACACCCGGGTCTTTTCCCCTGCAACCTTGGTCTTACTGCGATTCTGGCCTTTGTGATGCACGCTAAGATGGAAGACCATGGGCTGCCGTTTTGACTCCTTTCCCAGAAACATCTAGAACGAAAGGACTATCCAAGCTCAGGAAGGCCCCGCACTCGCTCTGAGATGTCCCGCACAGAAGCCAAATCACTCTTCCTGACCCCCATCTCCCCACAGCATCCCCACCAGAGAGAAAGTGCACAGTGTGATAAAGCTCACACACACACATCATCGGAACCAGGCACAGAAGACAAACCAGGAAGGCTGTCTGCCTGCAAGACAAGAGGCCAGAGAAACAGCAAGTGTGGCTCAGAAGAGGCTGGTCAGGCTCAGGACGGGACAGTGCCCGTTACCGGGCTTGCACGGTTCTCTCCAAGGGCCAGTGGGAAGACCCAGAATGCCACACTAGTTCCACTGCCTGGACTCCTTGGAAGGTCGGTCTCAGCCTGCTCCGAGCAAGGGTGCCTCCCACATAGAGCGCCCAGCTTAGAGACGAAAGAGTTCGTGACCTGGACCTGGACTTGGCTTCAGACCCCGTTCTTGACTGGATTTCCTGTTTTACCAGCAGCTTCTCTATGCGCCTTGTACTCGCTGGTCAAGAATTGTACGTACTGTCTCAATTGGCCCTGCCTTGAAGGGCTTCGAGAAAGAGCCCTGAATAAGTGGTGGGTGACAGCACTGAACAGGCAAGTGCTGAGTGCCCAGGGCCAGGCTTTTATCCTCTGCCCATGACTCCTTTAGTGGACGGCCCTTGGAGACCCACCCTCTCTGCCTAGGGAAGGGGCCAAAATCAGAGAACGGAGGGAAACAGAAGAGAGAATCACTGTTCTAGAGGAACTGGGAAAGTGTTTATTGGCTTAGGATGCTGCTGTTCTGATTAAGCAGCAACATTTCACCAGCAAGGCACTTGACATTGGGACTCGTTTGGAGACAGGATCAATGTAACAGCAATGACAGCAGGAGGAAGCACCTCCCAGTGGTGCAGTAGCTAAGCACGCTGCTAACTAAGGTCGGCAGTTCTCTCTACTCCACACTCGCCCTCATGCAGGTGTGGTGCCATAGCAAAGTGTGATGACGAAGCTCGAGGGTGCCCAGCTATGAGAAAGAATAGTCCTGGGTTCTGAAAGGCCTGTCTCCAAACAAGCAGACATCTAAATGAGGCCTCAACACCGGCCTGTGTGATCCAACGATTGTAAATAATAAAATCTAAATCCGAGCTTGCATTATGAACACCCGGCATACAGAAGGCTATGTATGGATGACCGGGGACGTCCAAGATCCATTTGCAGGGTCCCAGTGAATAGATTAAGTCCCCAGTGAATCCTTTCTGACCACAGTACAGGGATGTGAAGAGCCTTGCTATCTGACAGCCTTGTAAAGTCTATTGCGGCAGATGTACTTAGGATGAAAGGTAACACTTTATCGTTTGATCTCCCTTGTGCCCATTTTAGAGTTGTTTCCGTTTTAAATGTTTTCTGTTTTCTTTTGGATTGAGGTTTTTCTCTGTCTTGTTCTATTGTTGGATTTGTTTGTTTGTTTGCTTCCTGTTTGTATTTTATATGATTTTTCTGTATATGAAATCCAGGATAGGTAAATCTACAGAGACAGTAACTGGATGAATTATTACCTAGGGGGGCAAAGGGGAGTTGATAGCGTGGATGTTTGTATAACCCCAGCCAATGGGATTGAACAACAGAACTGTATGAATGGATACACTGGAACGAATAAGATATGTCAATTAAAAATATTATTAATTAATGACCTAGGGGCATGGCAGGGAATTGGTTGGGAGGAAATGGGGAGCTAACGACAATGAGTACAAGAAGAAAATGCCTCGAAGGGATGTGATGATTGCACATTCGTAAGACGAGCGAACGATTCGATGTCTAATAAAAGAAGTGTATGTTAATGAAAACTGTTTTTACAAAAAGCCTGTAGCTCAAACCCGCCAGGAGAGAGAGGTGGTGGCAGTGTGCACACATGAAGTGCAGCCTGGGAAACCCTGCAGGGCAGTTCAACAGAAGCCAGAGCCGGCTCAATGGCAACAGGCTTGATTTGGCGTTTTAATGCCTCTTCATGGTTAGGAACTTAGAATCCGCTTGCTTATATTTACATGGCCCTCCTTGCTTATTGTGGAAGCATGATCTTCCCAGCCCCTGGGAAGATGTAAGTTTATTTCTAGGGATGGATACAGGAGCAGGAATAATTCACAAGGGCCTAGACCACCGCCAGCCCCAGCCCCACCTCCCCCCAATCCCAGCCCAGTCAAACTGGGAGCCCTTCACGCTGCGAGCTGAACTGCGGGAACAGGACAGCGCGGGAACCTCCCGCTCGCCAAGGAGACCAAGGGTTGAGAATGACGTCACACGATGGAAGGAGCTTAGATCAGAGTCACCACCGGAAGGCGAGCTGCCAAGGAGGGCGGTCTCATCAGCCGGCGAGAAGGACACTTGCATTGCACTGAGTCACTGCGATCGGAGGGCCGGTTCCTTACTGCAGCAGAGCCTAACAAGACCCTGAAGCTCGTGCCTGGAGGGCGAGGGGAGGGGTGGTGCCGGAAGGGGGAGCATTCTCAGCTTAAGGTATTTGTGTTATACTAGGATTTGGATGGGAAATAAATAGGCATTGTATGATTCCAGACTCTGAAAGCTTGTCTACCTTTCCAGGTGAATCTGCTCACTACTGTGTGAGGTGAGGTGACTTACTCTCTCTCGACTTCAATTCCTCATCTGCAACATCTGGTTTACACTTACCTCAACCAACCGAGCCTACTGCCATCCTGTCTGTTCCAACCGACCCTGTGGGACACCTACCCTGGGGACTGCAAATGGTTGTGAAGAGAGTTAAATGAGATAGCTCACATAGAGTGTTTGACATTAAGTTTCCACTTAACCAGCACCTCCGTTTTAGCTGCTCCTGACCTAGTGGCTTCCTGGGAGCTTAAGCCAGGCTCATGGAAATTGAACGTGGCAATGAGGCAAGAACAAGTTGGACCCTACTGGTCATTGTGTCCGCATTGCATAATGTTGGTGGTTAGGGGGACACTTGAAAGACTAGAAAAGAAACAAAGTAGCCTTGTAAAGGATGAGTTAAAGGGGTTGGGAATATGATCCCCCTCCCTCAGGCCACACACACGCACACAGCAACCCCCAAAGATAGGGACCTGTTTGCAAGCACATTTCCTCTTCGTCCTGGTATTCGATTCGGCTAACCCAGCTCCCAGCTTCCTGGCTAGGACTCAGTCCCGTCTAATGGAATGTAAGAACACTGGCAGCCAAGGTCACTTGAGCTGTGGTCCATAAGACTTTCCTGTTGTTTCTCTGAAGCCACAGGGGGAAGAGTAGGGAGCACACAATGAAAGGAGCCCGGGTCCCCGCGTCACTGCTTAGAGAAGAGGTGTCCGCTGATGAACACCCCGTACCCACACTTTGGACTAAGATGGACAAGAAATAATAGATTTTCCCGAGTCCTAGCCACTACACACGTTTGTGTTTTCTCATTGCTGAAGTTAAGAAACAATGTGTCAAATGTGTTCTCTTGCAACTGCCGTGAAGTGAAATGACTTGGCCTGGCCCTTGCACCCGGTTTTTGTTACTTCCCCCAAATGCCTGGTGGGGGGAGCATGCAAATAAGGTGGAGAGGCCTCTAAGCAGGGGATTAGTCCAGTCTGCCATTCCGTTGGGTGTCAAGGAAGCCAGGTCAGAAGCAGGAAGAGTGAACCTTGGACCATCAAGAAAAAAGAGCTATCCAAAAAAATAAATCATGAAAAATTTTAAAATAATAATAAGAAAAAAGAGCTATCCAAATTTTAAAATAATCATAAAGGAGAAAGAGCTATCAACAGAGCACGTGTGAGACCCCCCAGTGAAGCGGGCACGGCAGCAGGGGCTCTGGAGGCCGAGGCACCAGCTGATACCATGACACAGTGACAGGTTTCGCAGCCCAGGAACCGAGCGACACGGAGTTGCCTTCTGGCCGGAGGCTGGCTTACAGAGTGAGGTGACCTCTGGACCTTGATCAGCACTGAAGCAGCTTTGCAGCCCTCGGCTGAACAGGACTGAGGCCACGGGGCCGAGTGGCTGAGAAGATGAAGATGGGAGAGAGACAGACGTGGCTGCTAGCAGGGCTGAGACTAGGAGCTACAGACAAAAGTACTGCATCCTTAAAATGTTTTGATCCTGCCTTGTGGCTTGTTGACGTCCCTGCATCCTCACGTTGCCTCGTGAGTTCCAGGTGGCCGGTGCCACAGAGTGTGGCTCGCACCCAGCGGCTGGGAGAGCATCCTGGGAGGGGCCGTTGGTGTCCGGAGAGGAAAAGGAAGGATGGAGCGTGGGGGCTGTCTGACCTTTGGCTCGCAGGAATCATCGCTGGGCAGACGTGGCGTGGGATTCTACTTCCCTGTGTGTAGTCGGAGGAGGTCAGAAGTGACCTCTCTGTCACTTCCTTAGCAGTTGCATGATTTGTAAAAAACAATCAGTCGTACTTAAGCCCAGAGTTTACATGAAGTTTTGACGGCATCAGTGATAGGTATAAACAATAAGGGCAGGCTTTTGAGGTTGCTCCCCCCCACAGGCTCCTCTGTGACTCTAAGCAAAGGGAATGACTGCCCGCGCTCTCTCAGATCACGTGACACTGTCACTTCCTGAAGACATTCTCGAAGATCCATTAATGTGCAAAGCCAGTGCTGCATGCGCCTGGCAGGTAAGTCTGTGGGCTGTGATCATGTTATCTTTATGCAACCTTGGGGGCTCATTTCTTCGCTTGGAGCGGAAGAACAGAACTCATTCATCAGGAGTCAAATACATGCTTCACTTTGGTCCTCCCTCCTCAGTATCTGTAGGCTCCCCCAGGGGCTCATTTGGGCTGTTTCCCTGCTGTTCCGTCCCCCAGCCTCAGATGCCCAACAGAAAGACAGGTGGTCACTTACCCAATGCATGGATTGGTCTGGTACCTCGGTGCTGTGTAGGAGAATGGGGAGATGCTCTTGTCTACGAAAGAGCCAAACCCCAACCGAAAATTGCTAGTGAGCTTCCTCATCTCCTCAGCGAGTTTGGTACCCAGGTTCCGGATGCTGTCCAAGTCATCCTTCATGGACAGGGAGAGGTCCATCAGGTAGTACAAGTCCACGGGATAATCCTCCACCTGTCGCACCTGCAGCTGCAGGGTAGTCTGGTCACCTGTGCCAACAGAGAGGTCCCACAGATCAGAGGCCCTGCGGTTTTGGAAAGGTGGAGGGGGGTGGATTTTGCTTTCGATGCCAGTCTGCCTCTTATTGTGTGGGTGTGATTGTGTGCCTTCCAGAAGGGACGTTTTTCTTGGAAATAGAGGGAACGTATAGCGATCCTATAGACAGAGTCGAACTGTCCCATCATGTTTCCTAGACCGTAGCTCTCTCCATTAGCAGGCCCGGGCTGTTACAACCCACTGTGCAGCAAAGGGTTCCTTTTACCAGCGCCCCTCAGGCAGCCGAAAGACAGAGGAAATGGGAATTAACCCTGAGGAAGTAGACGGAGAGGAAGCAGCCCATGGGGGGTGGCCTCTGCCCTCTCCCTACAGAGGTCACCGAGAGCACGGAGCTCTCAGACCAGGACAAGGACTCCTAAGTCATCTCATGAGCTCTTAAGAACCATTTGAAGCCTCATCAGGAGCCCTCGCTCGGCTGCTCGTGCACACACCTCGAGGCCCGTTTGACATCCCAGCTGCTCTGAGAAAGATGAGCCTTCCTTTCGACTCTGTACAGAGTGGCAGGCTCCGAACTCACAGGGGCAGTTCTGCGCCGCCCTGGAGGGTCTCTGTGAGTCAGAACTGACCCGAGGACAACTTGGATTTGGGGGGTTGGTGGGCGGTTCTGCTCTAGGATAGGTTGGGCATCTCTTGGTGCCCCTGAAAGGCCGGGGTTCAGCAAGTTCCAGAGCAGGCAGTATGATCTGAACCTTGACCTTGGTTCTGAATGATCTGTCCACACACCTGTGCGAGCTGGAGCTTCTGTTTAGAAGCGCACAAGCCAAGGCAGCTTCCTACCTGCCTGAGGTCCACACCTGACTTTCCCGCAGCCAAGGACCAGAGCAACCAACCAATCACCTCAAACTGGCAGCCACGAGCCCAAGCCTTTGGGAGCTGGCAGGACGAAGAAGACAACTCTCCCTGTTCCCTCCCTCCCTCCCACATTGCATTCACTAGAGAGGAGGATTCCCTGTCACTCTTACGAGGTGTGAACCCTGAGGCTCAGTTTCCTTCAACACACCAGTTGTCACCGAGTGGATACTGACGCATAGCAAAGCCCTTGCGTTTCCAGGTAGAGCTGTGCTCCATGGGGAAATTCCGGAAGTCCCTCTGGGTGGACACAAACTTCCAGCCATTCAGTTAGCCGCCAAGAGCATTAGCTATTTGCAACACCCAGGGATTTCCCCCTTAAATATGAAAGGAAATCAGAACCTCACCAAGCTGAAAGGATGCTTAGCTATGATGCGCTCCTGGGGAGAATAGGGTTTCAAAAGGCACAAAGGCCTGCACACAGGAGGTATGGTTATTATAATTATTATTTGTAACCTAAGTGACAGCTCTGAGCCTGCGTTCTCTGCTGTGCCTTGGCGTGTCCTGCGCTGGCTGCCTCCAGGCTGCGTTGCCGTTGCCCGTGGTGTGAGCCTATTTTTAAAAGCCATCCAAGTCTGGCTCAAATGGAGGAATGTTCGAGATTTCCTCCAGAATGCATCTGGACCGCTGCTGTCTGAATCTGGCTCCCATCAGGCGAGGCAGCCTCACGCCTGCCTCCACAGGCCCCTCCCAGCCTCCGTGACACATCCGTCATGGGGGGTGGGGGTGGCGATGGGGGGGCCCCTCCTTGACCCTTGCATAGACAGGCGACAGATTGGGGTGGGTAGAAACTGCAATCAAGTTCCTTCAGTCCAATCCCAAGGCCTCTTAAAGGGCCCTTTGCATCTGTTGTTGTTGTTGCTTCTTTCTTCCCAAAGTCTTAACTCACCGCCATCCTGGGGCTGATGCCGATTCAGAGCAACCCTGTAGAGCCGGGTAGAACGGCCTCGTGAGTTTCGGAGACTGTAACTGTTTGCGGGAACATCAAGCCCTGCCTTTCTCCTAAGGAGCAGCTGGTGGTTTCAAACTGCTGACCTTGCAGATCGCAGCCAACGCGTACCCACTATGCTGCCAGGAGTCCTAAATGTCCTAACTACCCTCCCTTTTATCCAGAATCCACTTCCACCTAATTCACAGAAAGGCGTTTTCTGATCAGGACTGAGCACTGGGTTGGCTGGCTCCCTGGCGGCTGACAGGCACCCTTGGCGAGGGAAGGAGGCGCTGAGCTGGGAGAGAAGGCAGGGCTGGGTTGGAAGCCAGACCCTGTCTCCAAAGCCTCAGGGACCTCAGCTCCTTGAAGCTGCTGTTCCGTCCCTGCAGCGGTGACAGGGAGGGTGCTGACTGACTGCTGCAGACACGCAAGGAAATGATGTGCATAAGCACTACCCAAAAGCCCCCACGCAAGGGAAGCGTTCCAAATGAAGGATTAAAGCAATTTCCGGTGGGGATAGAAAGAGGGGAAATCCTGCCAGAAACTTGAGCTTGACCGGCTACGGCCTCAGGCGTTAAATTTAACTCCAAATTTTCCAGAAAGGAAGGGAAAAAGAGGTGGGCGGGGAAACTAGATATGAGAGAGAGGTCACCCTCTCTGCTAAAAGCGGCAGGGTCCCTCTCTTGTGAGAAAGAAATCTCTAAGTGTTCGGTTCTAAGAGAGATGGCTCATGAAAAAAGAAAATGCAGTGCACACGCGTGCTCACATACATACATACATACATACATACATACATGTGCTTCCTCATAGGGAAGCTGCAAGTGTTAAAAAGAGCTTTCCTCTCGTTTCCAGAGAGAGCAATAGCCTTAATGCTGCTGTGCAGAATGCTTGTTTATTGCTAGCTACCTCCTATCTGCAGCCCTGGTGGAAAGCAATATGGCGCTGCCTAAGGCCACTGGGGACTGAAATTCCACATAAGCTGGCCATCTCTCAGCCGGGTATGTCCCCTAAAGAAGTAGGGCCCGTGGAGAGAACAGACAGATGGACATCCATATTCACCACAACACTCACTCTTCCCCATCGCAAGGGGTTAGAAGTAGCCCCAACACTGAGCACCGTCAGACTGGATAGAGGAGCTGGAGTACCTGCACGCGGCGGAATAGTAGGCATCGCTGAAAACCGGCGATGGAACCACGAAGGACCTCGTGGCCCGGGTGGACCTGGAGACAATGACGCTCACTCAAGTCCGTCCATCACAACAGGACAAACAGTGGCTGGGACCACTTCCATCCAGAGGCACACCAAGACATAGACCTGCAGCTTTGCAGGGGGTCAAGGTGGGAGGCGGCGAGGGAGGGAAGGAAGCAACAGACTAGAGGGCTGATGGGTGCTGCCTCGGGTGAAAGGGAGGATGGGGGTACATGGGAGGGAACAGAGGAATTGAGGGTAGAACATGTGGGGAGGGAAGAGGAGGGGCAAGGGTGTTGATGAGTGGTTTAAACAGTTTAATCCAGAGGAGATGGTCTGGAATGTAAAGCCTTCACCTAATTCTCAATTTAAAATCATTAAAAACTATATTAAAAGTATTTGCACATGCCTTTTGCACATGCACTTGGTTCTGATCAGCAGTTCTCAACCTATGGGTCGAGACCCCTTTGGGGGGTCGAACGACCCTTTCACAGGGGTCGCCCGATTCATAACAGTAGCAAAAAGACAGTGATTAAGTAACAATGAAGATAGTTTTATGGGTGGGGGTCACCACAACATGAGGAACCGTATGAAAGGGCCGCAGCATGAGGAAGGTTGGGACCCACTGCTCTAGATGCTGTCTGTGTATGCCACTTGGCCTTGGCCATACAGAATGTCTGTCCACAGGTTGGAGGGGTGGCAATCCTGGTGAGTCTCAGAGTGGGCGTTAAGCCACCATGGCTCCAGCTCTCCCAGGTTAGCGGACAGAAGGTGAAGCCGTTGCCCCTGCGTGTGGACTGCGTTCTCTGCAGAGAAGCTCTCCACTGTCTGTCTGTCTGTCTGTCTGTCTGTCTCTCTCTCTCTCAGAGCCACAGGGCTATCCTGGGCCAGCGGAGGCTGTCAGGCAGCTGCCACGCCCACGTGTCCCTCAGGGCACACTTTCCTGCCTGCACCACCAGTGCTGGGTCTGTGCCTGTCTCTGGGACCCGATTCCTGGCTGCCTATCCAGATCTGTTGGGCGGTCCCCCTCCTCCCTCACCCCACAGGGTCCTATGACCCTCCCATCCAGGCAGGCTCCTCTCCCCCTGTGGGCTGCACCCTTTCCTTCAGGGCTATTTCAGGTAATCCTGCCCGGGGCCAGTGGGCGGATCAGAGAAATGGGATCAAGCAAACTCAAACACAAAGCTCATCCCCTCACACCTGTGAGGATTAAGCCAGTCCTGCAAGCAAGCTTCCCGAATCCTCTCGGTTCTTTTTCTTTTGTATCTTTTTCCTGGGGGCTCGTACAACTCTGACCACAATCCATCCATCCATCCATGGTGTCACGGGAACAGCACTGCTGCCTCCATACAACTCAAAGATGTCAGTTTTCTCTCTCCTACCCCCACACCCCCGGGGAAAGGGTGCAAGTTTTCTCAGTATAAATGAATATCAACGTGCATTCTATCCGGTACATATTCTCAAAGCCTCCTCCTTTCTGCCAAGGACATACATCAGTGTGCTAGATCTTTCTACAGTGCTGCAGGAGAGGCTCTCAGCATGAACTTCTGCTATTTTAAGAAGACTGGTTTCTGTTCAAGTGTTGAGGAAGGGTGGCATCACAAGACAAAGAAGACCGCTGCCCCCAAAGAAACGTGGTCAGCTTTTGCCTTTTAGCTCAGCAGAGGTACCTTTCTGAGCTGCAAAACTGGCAGAAGAAAGAAGGAAGGTGTAACTGGACTTAGGTGAACAGGAAAGGAGGCCCCAGGGCATGCTTCTAGGACTACCCCCTAGCTACTGGGTTCTGCTGCAGAAGGTAATGAGTAGCTCACAATTAAATCCAGACTGAGACCCCAAACATTGCCTGACCGGGCTTGGACAAGGCCACCACAGCACCTGACACCTCACCTCGGGATTCGGACCTGGGGCAGTGGTACCCAGGAACAAGCCACCTAAAGTCACGCTGACCTCGGATCAGCCAGCTGC